GCTGTGCCATGTGGGTCACCTCCGGGATGGGGATCGAACTCATGCTGAAGTGGCTTTACCTTCGTAGTGCTGTGCTTTAACCCACTGCACCACCAGGGAGGGCCTCATTCACTTATTTTTGGTCATTTAGATTTATTTTTGCTAACAAGAAGAAATAACAACAAAAAATATATATTTAAGCAAAATGACTTTTAGTGTAAATAGCCACTGTACATAGGGAGCATATACATACTTTTGAATGAATAGTATTGTATTTTTAAGCTAGATACCTAGGAGTAGATTTACTGAATTAAATGGTAAATCTATTTTTAATATTTTGAAAAAACAAACAAAAAAAAACCCACTCTGTTTTCTGTAGGGACTGGATCAGTCTATAATCCCACCAAAAGTGCATGAAGTTTTCTTTTCTCCATATCCTCACAGAAACTTCTGTCTTCGGGTATTTTTGACTTTGGCCATACACTTAAGTGTTTTGATAAGCAGCTTTGATTTGCATTTCTCTGATAATAAAGTGATGATCTTTTTTTTTTTTTTAATGTGTCTGTGGGCCATCTGTATGTATCTGAAGTGTCTATTCAGCACTTCTGGCCATTTTTTGATTCGGTTATTTTTTTGTTGATGATTTTTATTATTTGTAATCCATAGGTATTAGTTCCTTGATGAATATATGTTACACAATTACTTCCTACTATTCAGTAGGGACTCATTTTGCTTTGATATGGGCCTACCAGACTTTCAATTTCCTGATCCTTGTTCCTCAATATGAACCCCATATGAATCTTCTGCTTTACCTTATATGACATATTGACCTTGATTTTTTTTAATTTATCTGTACCTCTTAGAGAAACAATTAATATCTGTGTTATTTTTCAATTTTTGGCAAAATGATTTCCCTTTGCCAAGCCTTTCTGCTTAACATAGCCTCTTACCTGAATGGCTCCTAAGATCTCATCAGGAGAAAGAATGGATTCCTCCAGTTTAAAAACAAGATAAAACTTTGTAAAGACTTGAAAATTATTTTCATTTTTAATTGATAATCCTCAGAATTTGGGAGAATTTGACATTTTTAGATATTTTACTACATCTGTGGAATTCCTATTGTTAGTAATAATTTTTTTTTATTATTAACTCTTCATCACTTTGGTAAAGTTCAAATGTTACCAAAAAACAAACTAAAACAGGCCCTTCCTGGTGACACAAGGGGTTAACACACAGCACTATGAAGCACTTTACAGCCACCAAAGCACAGTTAAGTCCAGGGAGGTGACCCGCATGATGGGACAGACCTCTCATCTTTTGCCTTCTGCTCCCCTCAGTAGTGTATTCAGTTTGCTCCCCACTCTGTCTTTGGTGAGTCTTCTCACCCCCTGCATCTTTGGCCTGCATCTTTGGTCTTCTCACCCACTGCATCTTGTATGTATAAATAAATAAATCTTTAAAAGCGAAACTAAAACAAGACAAAAATAACCCCACAAATCTAGAAAATATGAAGAGAAAATATGAAATAGAATATAGAAAATATGAATTGCTATTGATGTTTAGAAGATTTTATACAAAAAAATACAGAAAATAAAAGGACATAAGATCATTCCACCAGCCTAAATTTACAAGCACTTTTTACTCAGTGTATATCAAAATGCTTAGCAATATAGCTATTGGATTGTATCAAAAGATTCAAAAACAGGACAAAATATACATTTAATTGGAGCATGTTTCAAGTTCTAATTTCTGCCCTATGTTTCTGTGCTTAAAGTAAATCAAGCATACAATTAATTTTAATTATTTAATTTATTAGTTGAATTGAATTTTATTTATGTTAAACTCTTTTAAAAAATAAAATTACCTATTTTATCTTGAACATACTCTGATACAAATAGCTTATTTTTTTCAGATGTTCACTTTTCCATTCACTAGTTTATCTATTGCCTCCCTTTTATACGTCTATCATATTTTCCAAGAGTTATATTATGCGTGTTCAGTTTTATATCGACTTGCTAATTTCTAAATACAGACATTTTGCATATTATATCATATTTCAGATACTTCTTCCTTCATCCACAACTGAGCCTTCACAATAACTGTGTGCCAGAAATGAGAGGAGTGGGGTGAGAGGAATAACTCCAGTAAGCTCTTTAACACAGAAAACTAACCAGTAGCTGGATGAAGCAGTAAATGTAAGTCTGAAGGGTTTCCTGTCATTAAGGATCTCTAAGGGTACAGAATCTTCATCAGAGGAAGGGTACAAGACAGAAAGGTCCTGGAGTGTTCCTCTGTAGGCTATCCAATTTGGGCCATTGATGTATTAAATATACTTTCAAGTATATTTAAGTTTTATTTTATGTACTTTTAAAATTAATTGAATATTTTTCACCACAGAAGAACTGAAGTGTAGGCCAGAGGTGCAGGGGGTGAGAGGATTCACCAGAGACAGAGTGAGGAGCAGAACGGGCAGATCTACTGAAATACATTGTTACAGGGAGCTGTGGGTGAGACAAATACATAACTAAAGGGAGCTGTGGGTGAGAGTTTTGCTGCATCGGGTAGGTCAGCTCCCTGGCTGGGGATCAAAGTCAGGCCATAGGTGATAATGCTGAGACTTAACCCAGAGGCCACGAAGGGAAGACCCTGTGAAATATTTTAATTATTTAATGTTGATGTAATACCTTAGAATCTCTGCCAAGGTCTCCTAAATATTTGGGATTGTCTAAACCTCAGATTATAGCTTTTTAGGATACCATGTAAAAATCTATGATGTCCTCAAAACTTAAAAAAACTCAGAAGCCTTCCAGAGTTGCTATCATTACTGAGTGTCAGATAGTCATCAAGGAAATAAAGCCCAAATAATAAAGAGAAAAAAAGGAAGCTTTTTAGCTATTAAATTACATGATGTTTTTCATTTTTCAGTTAATCAGATGGTGGAAAAAAAAACAGAAAAACTGTAAACCGTCACTTCAAATAAGCAGGGAATCATTTCTTTGGAACTTTTCTCTATTTTCAGTTCTCCTATTGTATTTTAAAGTTACCTGATCCAATGATATTTTATCTGTTAAAAATTCAAATTTTTATAATTTATTCCTGTATTTTGCCAAATAGTTGTTTTCCCTCCTTTCAGGCACTTCATATTCGATTTACACTCCTGGTTTGTTTGGTGATGGATCCTGCACTTGAACCTGATAAGGCTTGTGTCAGAGCATGTAATTGCTAATGTGACACCTTCCTGATTTAATTTTTCATTTTCCCCAGGACCCAGCAAAGTTTCAAATAATGACTCTCCCATAAAATCTGTGTCCTCCATTAAGGGCAAGCTGTGCAGCAGAGACCCCTGATCAACCCACAACGACCATATATCATGGATGATAAATAAACCTTCACAGTGTTGACAGAGAACTGTGTTTGTGGTTGCTGTAGATGACCTCATGTATCCTAATTGATGCAGCATGCAATTTAAACATTCTAATACTATTAAAAAATTGCAGTATTATCCTTTAAATACTTTAATAGAGCAACATTGATCATCTTCTAATCTCTCTAAAGAGAATAAATGTAAAGATACTTCCAATTCTTAAATGTTTTCCAATTCATGGATGAAAGATCATGAGTTTTAATGATGTGTAGAGTTTATTCTGAACTTTGACAAAGCACAATGACATTAAACATCAATCACATGGTAATTTGCAGTTATCATTGGGCTGTTATTGTGTCTTTATTAAAGGCAAAAACTTCAAATGCATGCAAGAAGTCATTTTTGCATTCTAATACTACTATGCTTGTAAGCTCAAAAATAAACTTGGGAATCGATCAATTCCACTGGGAAATAGGCATTAAAATACATGAGTACATTCTGCTCGTTCAGAATTTTGACACAAGTTCATTTGTTTTTTTCATGTATCACTACATTTCAGAGCATGTTAAATATAATTTGATGCATGCAGGAGACTTATAGAATATGGACAATTTGTTCAGGCAGCTACTGATGATTCTGTGGTTTTATCTTAATACTTGACTTAACTGATGAAGAGAATCATTCAGTGAAGTCTCTTGCAAGCTCATTTCTCCATTGTCTGGAAGCCCCATTGTGCCTGCATTTTTAAATGCTGTCCACTTCATTTCCAATTGAGTGTGTTTTTGGTTGAAGAAATATTTCAAAAAAGAAATAATTTTACTCTAAATTTTAATATTTTAAAATTGAATCTTGAAATTTTATTTTTCAAAAAGTGTCAGACATGAATTACACTTATTTCCAGAATCTGCGTAACTGCACTAATTCTATGGACGCTTGCTTTCTAGAATTCAGATGTTTTTTTTTTTCTTTAGATACTTGAAGATCTTGTGTGCAATTTACATTGGAGGAAAGGCGGTGCAGGGAAATGGAAGAACTGATGATTAAATGCATCAGTTCTTATGACACAGGAAACCAGTTATAATTTGATGGCAGGAAAGTTGAAGTACAAGGTTGAAAAGGGCAAGAGATAATCACACACTGAAAAGCAAAGAGTAAAAAATCTGTTGGTTAAATTAATATTTAATTCAACACACAAATGGGTTTGGTGCAGTAGCTATAAAAGATTTTATTTTTAATTTCATCATCTGAATGATATTTCCCTGAGCCCTTCTGGGGAACTAGAGTGATGCCAGCACAATGAGCTCTTGTGAGGTGCTGATTCATGCCAGTCAATCAGTGCATTGCTAAGATTATTATTATATATATATTTTTAAAGAGAAGTGGGAAAAATACCAAGGTGAGGTTCTGACATCTCATTTTCTCTATGAAAGGAGCATATATATTATCCTCATTTCATATATTTAGGAAAGTCAGGACCTAACTTGTCATAGATGTGATGGGAAAGGTAGATTGCAATATGCTTTGTGCTCTAATGAAGAATAGACAGATAAGGGAGAAGTTGATTTATGGCATAAAAGAAAAAAATTAAGTTTTCCCTTCAAGTCAGGGAAGTCTCCATTCTTCCCTACTATTACCTTCTACCTGTGTGTACTTTACCATACTTTTCTTCTGGTCACTGAGCGTGTGGTGATTTTTCCACCACACAAGGAATTCTCTGTGGATTTAGCTGGCATCCTATAATTTAACTCAATATTTTTTTTAAATAATTTATTTTTATTTATTTAGTTTTTACATAACTCTTCATTTTGTGGAATTTTTCACCTCAGTGGCAATTCCTGTGGACTTCCAACCACCAGTTCACCTTTGTGTGTCATCATGGTCTCATGTGCTTTTCCCATCCCAGTTTTGATCCCATCCTCCTTTCCACCCCTGGAAATGGGTGGGATGTCTCTGGTTTATAGTTTTCATTTTTACTTTATTGCAATTTTTTTTTTTGCCTGATCCTTTATGCTCCTGCTATGAGTGAAACCACGTGGTATTTTTCTTTGTCTTTCCAGCTTAGCTCACTAAGCATGATCCCTTCCAGCTCGATCCATGTTGCTGCAAAATACATGAGTCATGTTTTTTGGTTGCTGAGTAATATTCTATTGTGTATATGTACCACATCTTTTTAATCTAGTCATTTATTTTGGGTATTTGGGTTGATTCCATGTCTTCCTTATTGTAAACAGAGCAGCAATAAACATGGAGGTTCAGGTGTCCTTTTGAATCACTGTTTTGTGTCCTTTGGGTAGATAGGACTGGGGTTGCTGAGTCAAATGGAAGCTCCATTTTTAACAGTTTGAGAAACCTCCAAATAGCTTGCCATAGTGATTGGACCAGTTTGCAATCCCACCAGCAGTGTAAGAGAGTTCCTTTTTCTCCGCATCCTCGCCAACATTTGTTGTTGCTAGTTGTTTTAATATGTGTCATTCTCACTAGTGTGAGATAGTATCTCATTGTGGTTTTAATTTGTATTTCCCTCATTGCATGTGATGTTGAACATTTTTTCATATGCCTGTTGGTCATCTGCATTTTCTCTGCCCACTTTTGATGGGGTTGTTCACTTTATTTTTGTTGACTTTCATCAGCTCTTTGTATATCTTTGTGATCAGTCCTTTGATATCGGTATCATGTGCAAATATATATATATATATATATATTGCCAATTAGTGGGGTGTCTCTTTGTTTTGTGTAGAGTCGCTTTTGCTGTACAGAAGCTTTTTAAATTGATGTAGTCCCAGCTGTTATCCTTTCCTTCACTATCCTTGCTTTGGATGATATATCTAAAAGTGTTACTAAGGTGTATGTAGTGTAGTGTTTTACCCACCTTTTCTTCTAGATATTTTATGGTTTCGTGTCTTATGCCTAGTTCTTTAATCCATTTTGAGTTGTTTTTTGTGCATGGTGCAAGGTAGTAATCCAGCTTTATTTTTATGCATGTAGTAGCCCAGTTCTCCCAGCACCATTTATTGAGCAAACTTTCTTTGTTCCATTGCATAGTTTTTGCTCCTTTGTCAAAGAATAGCTGTCTGTAAACCTGTGGGTTTACTTTTTTTTTTTTTTTTGTTAAGATTTATTTATTTATGCTTACAGAGCTTGGGTACAGGCCAGAGGTGCAGGGACGGTGAGAGGATTCATCAGAGACAGAGTAGGGAGCAGAACAGGCAGACTGAAGAGATACACTGCTGAGGGGAGCAGTGGGCGGGTCAGGAGAGGTTGAGGGGAGCAGTGGGCGGGTCAGGAGAGGTCTGTCACATCATGTGGTTCACCTCCAGGGCAGGGATTGAACTCTTACTGAAGTGGCTTTAGCTTCTTAGTGCTGTGCTTTAACCTGCTATGCTACCAGGGAGGGCCTATATCTGTTTTTTTTTTTTTATTTGAATCTACTGGTCTGTATGTCTATTCTTGTTCCATTGCCATGCAATTTTAATTATTATGGATTTGTAGTATAGCTAGAATTCTGGGAGTATGATGCCTCCATTCTCTTTTGTTTTAGTCAGAAGAGTTTTGGCTATTCGAGATTTTTTTTTTTTTTTGTGGTTTCATATATATCTCAACAATATTTGTTCTATTTCTTTGAAGAATGTAATTGATTTTTTTTTTCTTAAAAGATTTATTTATTTAGGCCCTCCCTGGTGGCACAGTGGGTTAAAGCGCAGCATTGAGAAACTAAAGCCACTTCCGCATGAGTTCGATTCCCGCCTGCCCCGGAGGTGACCACATGGCGTGGCAGACCTCTCCCGACACACCCACTGCT